ATCAAAAAGTAGAAAGGGATCCAATATGGTCCCATTTTTTAAAAAAGTATGCATATGCACATACATTTATACATGATTATAAGAACATGGAGAATGACATAGAAGGATATGTATTAAGTTGGGGGTGGGGAGAAGGGAGAGAAAGTTAGCCAAAAAAATCCCCCCTCCATGCACATTAAGCATCAACAAAAACATTCTGTATGCTATAGTACCTTTAATAGATAATTATGTGTATACACTGGAGATATACTCAAAGAGACGCATAAAGAAATAATCAGACTTCCAGGGTATTTACCGATTAAGAATTGTATACGTGAAAAACACTGAAATGACAAATGCTGTGTTATCTATATTTTTACGATTAAAAAAAAGAAAGCATTAAGCACAAAAAAAAATAAATGATAGACAAATGGATGGATGGTTGGCTTAGGTTAAACTATTAAACAAAAGACAGGAAAAGGCGGTATTCTTTTTTCGGTATGATTTTTAAAGCACAGTAGCTGCCTGACTTCTCTGCAATATTCGGTACTGTAGCACTCTCCTTCCTTGAAGCGCTCTTCTCGTTTTCCACGATGCCACCCTGTCTGGCTTCCCCCCTATTTCTCTAGCAGCTCATTCTCAATTTCTTGGAGGCCCTTTTCCCTTGTCCTGTTTCTCCTTCAGGGTCCTGTCCCTCTGTCTACTCCTCATTCAGTACACCCTCCCTAAAAGAAAAGCCAAACCAAACGAGTCGAGTGGATTCCAACTCATCGCGAGCCTACAAGACAAAGTAGAGCTGCCCCATAGGGTTTCCAAGGAGCAGCTGGTGGATTCCAACTGCTGACCTCTTGGTTAGCAGCCAAGCTCTTAACCACTGTGCCACCAGGGCTCCAATACCCTCCCTAGGTGATCTAATTCATTTCCAAGGCCTCAATTACTATCTACAAGGTAAGAGGGTTTCTAAATCTCCAATCCGTTTTCTTTCTGAGCTGTAGGCCTGCCTATCTATGGGCATACTGGGAATGCGGATATCCCACAGATGTCTAAACACAATATATCCCAAACTGAACTCATTTTCTTCCCTCTCAAATGCTGTTCCTCCTTCTGAGTTCCCACAGCAAAGAATGGCATTATCATTCAACCAGATGTGAAGCAGAAACTTGGCTTCCCAGCACCAACAGCAGTAAGTGAAAAGTACAAGTTCTGGCCTCCAGCTCTCCAAAGACAAAGTTTAGGGAAACTTAGAAAACAAAAACTGCACAGATGCAAGGCACTGTAAAAGTCACTATCCTCACCACTGTTTGACTTTCTCCATCCAGTCCTCTCCATTGCAGGAGGCTAGTTCTCACCCACACCCTCTGGCGCGGCCCTCCCGCAGGCACCCAGCAGCACCTCTCCTCTCCTCTGGTCCACGGTGCACGCGGGAGGGTCAGGACTCAACACCACGCTTAGGCACGGGATCCCCTTAGCCGGGCGGCCAAGTCAGGAAAGGGCTGCTTCAATTCTGTCTGCGGATAATCGCCCCTCACTACAGCACGCGAAAACCAGCAACAACCTCCCGCGTGGCCGCTGCAAGCCAATACCCACCCACCCCCAACCTCAGACCCGAGGGTCTACTAAATATCTAAGAACCGAGGGTCCCCGTCTAAGGACGTGCGAGACGCCGGGAGGTGGCCGGCTCGCAGGAGGCGTAGTCCTGCCTTCCCTCCCAGTCCTCTCCGGCTCTAAATCCTCGCGCTACGGGGACCACCGCTACCACTTCCCCAAGGCCTTACCTGGGATCTGGTACCGGTCTGCAACTCAGCTGCTGCTGCTGCTTTCCAGATGCCTGGCCTCTGGGCAAGAGGAACCCTACTTCCCAGAAAGAACCGGTAGAAACCTGCAGCACCACAGAACACACAGGGAGCCGCCATGTTGCCTGAGGGAGACCCGGGTCGGGGAGGAGCAAGGGGCGGAACCTGAAGAATGCGCAGGCGCCGACTCTCCGGGTTCCTGACGCTGTCGAGGAAAAGCTT